TTGCTCTCAAGAATGAAAATGAGAAGATAGTTATGATTAAAGATAAAGAAATTGAAGAGTTAACACAACGAATAGAAGAACAGGCAGGCTCAAAAAATCTTATGAAAGAAAAGGTAAACAGAAAATGCTTCTTAGGTCTGTTGTCATCAAAGATAACACAGCTGATTATCCATCATCGCCCATCCAAATTTCATCTGTCAACAATTACAATTCATCTTTTTGAAAATCTCAAATTTTGTATTTTTAGTGAATATTTTGATTCATTTTTGTTCAAAACTGATATTTGTGATTGTGAAACTGCTAATAAAAATGGTTTTAAATTTGATAAACAAATACCTTATGTTTTTGTTTTTTTCAGATTCGTTCAATTTTGTGTCAATATGTCAAATTTTGTATTTTTGATGAATACTTCTCTAAAACCACTAATTTGAAAGGTTTCGAATTTGATATACATGTACCTTGTGTGGTTTTCTCTCAGATTTCATGTAAATTTTTTTTTGGCTAAAATTTTAAATAATTTTGGACTTCTACAACAAATCAATGGTTTAAAATTTGGTATACATGTACCTTGAGTGTTGCTTGATCAACTCAAATGTGTTTGTTGCAACAGTACCGTCTCATTATTTTCTAGACAAATGTTATATAAAATGTATGAGTTGGCAGAGATCCATAAACAATACAAGCCGGTAGGCTGGTTAGCGATCCGCTCCGCTCAAAAACAAGCACCATGTTTTTGGCTGTTTCCATGGTGTGACATAAACGTGAAGCTAACGTCGGTTCATAACTAATACGAAGTTCGCAAACACCATTCAGTTTTTGAAAGTCACTTAGTTTATTACTAGGACCACAATCACTCTCCTAGTCGAGTGACTGTGCTAGGACGTATTCTGCTGTTACATTTATTATTTCCAACCGTTTTGCGATAGCATTTTCTAGAATGAAGCGTTTCCTGTAAATGCTGGAAGCGAATTAATGAAATAATGAGATTGTAAATATTTACCTAAAGTATAGTGTGTTGACCTTCATAATAATATACTTCATAATGCAAAACATTAGTCACGGTGAGTTACTTAAATATACGACTCCTAATCGAAAA